TATATATATATCATATAAATATGAAAATTTATTAGATTTTATGAAAAATGTAAACATGAGAATTTGAAAGGTTACATAAAATTGAAACTGTTGAATATAATTTATGTATATGAAACTATTAAATTTCAGATACAAGCAGTTGAAAAGTTTGTATATAATTTACATTAAATAATTTGACGTTTTTTATTTATGTTTTTTTTTTAATGTGAGATAGGTGAAAAGTAAAAAACTGTTTGAGAATATGAAGCATCTGTATTCATATAAATTTCAAAAGAAGAAATTTATGAACTTTAAATGCTAATGCGTTATTATTATTATTATTATTATTTAAAATGGGGAAGTCGGAAAGTCGTAAGTAGGGCTGTCAAAAAAGCTCGTTGTTCGCGAACAGTTCGTGTTCGATTCGTCAATGAGTTCGTGTTCGATTCGTTCGATAGGTAAACGAGACGAACGTGAACAAATTTTTTTCGTTCGGTTAGTTAAATGAACCAAACGCGAACAGTTATGCGTTCGTTCGTGTTCGAATCGTTATTGTTCGAAATATAAAATAATTTAAAATAATTATATATAAAAAATTTATGATATTTTAAAAAATAAAAGTTTATAAATTATAATATATAATAAATTAATAATAATAATTAATATACTATATTAGTAATATGCTGATATATATATTATATATTATATAATATAAGTTATATAATTAATTTTAATATATTAATATTAGGGATGTCAAACTGACTTGTTGTTCGCGAACAGCTCGTGTTCGACTCGTGTTCGGCTCGTTCGTTAAGAAACGAACACGAACAGTGACTTCACGAACAATTTCAAACACGAGCTTATTTCAAACAAACTAAATTTCAAACGAACCAAACACGAACACAAGCTCTGTTCGTTCGTGTTCGGTTCGTTTACACCCCTAGTCGTAAGGCGGAAGTCGAAAAAATGAATGTAGATTTTAATTTTATTTTTTTCTCTTAAATAGCTGCCTCTTTTGTTTGGAGAATTTGGTAAGCTAAGAAGTGAATATGGAAAGGTTTTCAGCTTTCTTTTTTTTTATTTGAAATGAGGAAGCCGGAAGACCATAAGGCGGAAGCCAGAAGGTCAAAGGATAGAAACTGAAAAGACAGAATGAATGCAGATTTTAATTTTAATTTTTTTAATAATTGTCGTTAATGCTAAACCTCCTCTTGAGCCTATAAATAGAGATTAAGTATGAGGGAAAGAACCACAAGTGAGGAAAAATGAGAATGAGAAAAGAGAGAAAGAGTTGAGAGTGGAGTCTTCTGCTAGTGAAATTTTTCAGAAGAAAAGTCTCTGTCCTACATAGCAAGCGAACAACGGAATCTTCTTTAACATTGCAGCTAAGGAGAAAGTTGTCCTCGTCCTGCGTAGTAGGCAAGCAATGGGATCTTCTCACGAGATCTTCTTTCACATTGTGACCAAGAGGGAAGTCATCCACGTCCTGCATAGCAAGCAAGTAACAAGATTTTCTTTCACATTACAGCGAAGAAGAAAGTCATCATTGTCCTACGTAACAGGCAATCAACGAGATCTTCTTTCATGTTGCAGCAAAAAAGAAAGTCATTTTCGTCCTGCGTAGCCGGCGAGCGATGAAATATTCTTTCGCATTGCGGTAGGAGAAAGCCGTCCACATCCTGCGTAGTAGGTGAGCAACGAGATCTTCTTTTGCGTTGCAATGCAAGAGAGTCATCACCATCATACGTAGCAGGTGAGCAAAGAGATCTTTTTTCACGTTGCAATGCAAGAGAAAGTCATCCTCGTCTTACGTAGAAGGCGAGCAATGAGATCTTCTTTCGCGTCGATAAAATGAAGAAAGTTATCTTGATTCCTGCCCAGTAGGTGACTTGGGATCTTCTTGTTGTTGGTACACAATTCAGTGGAGATGAATAAATGTTAGAGTTCTCCACTGTGCTTTGAGGAAGAGATTTTCATGCTTCTATAGCGGTTATATCTCTTGTAGCCCTTGCACCACTTCTTGTTGATATTTATAGTCTTTTTAATCAACTGATGTGATATTTATAGATGGTGATAATGTATTTCTTTGTACGTCTTTGACATTACTTATGAGGTTGTTGTGGTTTCTCAATCGTACAAAATTCTGCAATTAAAGTTTGCACACACACTTTGTAAAATGAGGAATCACGTACCTTTTGAGGCTCGTGTCTTCCGAGGTTGTGCCCTCTTAGACTTGTGCTTTACAGGAGTTTGAAATGAACTAGTACCTTCTGAGGCTCATAGCCTTCTGAGATCTTTTAGATATATGTGTCTTCTGACACTTGTAGCTTTCTGATGTCTTTGATGTATCAGTGTCTTCAGAGACTCGTAGCTTTCTGAAGTATTTGATATATATGTTCCTCCTGAGGCTTGTAGCCTTTTGATGTATTTGATGTACCTATGTCTTTTAAGGCTTGTATTCTTCTAAGGTTTGATATACCTACGTCTTCTGAGGCTTGTAGCCTTTCAAGATCTTTGACTGGAGATCCTATCAAACACTTGCTCTCTGAAGTTTTTCTATTGAGGACTTTATCTGCTACTAGCTTCTCATCGAGACTTCTCTCTTGGGCACATCTTCTATGGGCATGGTAGCTTCTCATTGAGTCTTGCCTCTAGGGCTTGACTTCCAGGAGTACTGTGTCTTCCCGACAAGTCTTGTCACTTGGGCTAGACTTCCAGGGGCATGGTAGCTTCTTATCGAGTCTTGCCACTTGGGCTTGACTTTCAGAAGTAATGTATCTTCCCATCAAGTCTTGCCTTTTGGGCTCAACTTTCAGGGGCATGGTAGCTTCTCATTGTCTTTCCTCTTGGGCTTGAGTTACAGGAGTATCATATCTTCCCATCGAGTCTTGTCTCTTGGGCTCCACTTCCAGGGTCATGGTAGCTTCTCATCGAGTCTTGCTTCATGGGCTCGAATTCCATGGGCATTGATGGGGATCTTGTCTACTGCTTGCCCTTAAAAGGACTTTCTACACAAAAATCTTTCATGAGAAAATAAGAAAATTTTACTTAAATGACAGTTTGAAGTAAAATAAAATTAGGAGTTTATAAGTCAGTCCTTCACTCAAATAAGATAATTTGAAGTTGTACTTCTCATTCAAAAACTCCAACAATTCTCTTCCGGTTCCCCTCACCTTATTCTTTTAAGTAGAGACCAATGTGACATTGACATATCAGACGTTCATTTTCTTCCTTTATTTGAAAGCATCTTTTTGTCGAATATCCTTTTACATGGTGAAAATGACAATACTGAGACTGGTCTCCACCATCTGGATTTCTTAATGACATTGGCCACTTGACGACATCTTCATCCTTGATAATCATTAAGATGTTGACATGTGAAGTGTAAAGTGATGTGTATTCTTTTTTTTATCGTGACTCATGATTTCCCTGTGGTCTAAACTTTTTTCGTCGTGAGATTTAATCGGTATCCTCACCATTATTCTCTTGCTTGTCTTCCAATTGCTTGAATTATTCCTTGTGTCCAATGATGTTATTGTCTGCAGAAATTTGAGCTTCAACGCTATGGACAAGATCAGTGTAAGAGTCCACCGTCTCTTGCATCAGTGATGAATGGTAAGTTCTTGGGTAGAGTCCTCCAAGAAAGACTCCTCGCAGCAACTCCGGATCACCTCCAGGAATCTGGCTGGCTTCAGTGGAGAACTTGCGAAAGTATTCTCCCTTATTTTGGCGAACTCCTGATAAGTGAGATGAATCTTTGATGATCCTTCTATTTACTATAAACTGTTCTACGAATAATGTGACAAGCTCATTGAATGTGTTGACCAGGAGAGAGTAGAACAATGTACAAGCTTGACCCTTGAGAGTCGTCGGAACACTTGACAGAAAAGTGCATCAAAAGCACGGTGAATGTGCATGATGGCTCAATAGGGGTCGACGTGCTCGTATGCGTCAATTACCTCTTCATAGGCATCAAAGTTCGGGAGTTTGAAACCTGCTGGAATAGGGTGTCAAAAAAAACCGCATCAATGAAAGAAGATGATTGGAAGTTGCAGCGAGCATTAAAGTGATCCTTTTTATAAATATAAATAATAAAATTTAGGTGTTAAATATATAATTACATAAAAATTATGTGGATGTGGCAAGTATATAAGTTTTCTTTTTTTTTTAGTTAAAAAATATAAGTATGCATTTTTTTTTAGTGATTTCACTTAATTATTTACATATAGCTTCATTAACTTTCTAAAGAAAATTAAACGCCATCCATTGGCATCTTTGATCATTGTCATATTGGACAGCACTTCAAAACAACTCTATATTTTAATACTATCATAGAGGAGCATCACACAACAAATTGAATACGTGTGCTTTATCGTTTAGGGTTGTAGAACATTGTGGCCTTCAATTTATATTTATTTATTACAGGTGAAAGGAATTTTATATTTAAAGCATCAGTCATCATAATTATTTCACTCTGCGCCTCTGAGAGGTAGCTGGCTGGTCTATAATTTTAGTACAATTTGCTATTTAAAAAATAAATAAAAAAAATTGTTGCGTGTTAAAATGTAATTCTATTAAAGTTGAATGTCAAATGACTATTAAGAAATTACATACAGACCCCCCCCCAAGACATTGATAATAACAAATTAATCACCCTTACATTTACACAAAAAAAAAAAAAAAGAAAAAACATGTAAATGTAATAATTAAGTTTTTGTTTTTTATTAGAGCAAAGTTCAATCAAAATTAGGGCCGTTGTCCGTGAATAGCTCGTGTTTAGCTCATTAAGTAGCTCGTGTTCGGCTCATTCGTTATGTGCACGAGCCGAACACGAACAAATTTTTAAAGCTTGAATTATAAACGAACCAAACATGAACAATTCTTTGTTCGCTTGTATTCGGCTCACTTTAACTCGAAATAAAAAAAAAATTATATAACTATTATACATATTCATAACTAAATTTAAATTATAATAACTCGTGATATATATTCATAACTAAATTTAAATTATAATAACTCGTGTGGTAACGTGATTAGTTACTTTTTTTATATATATTTGCTATAGGTTTGAATCTCACACTTTATATCTATTTTTTTAAAATTTAATTTTAACGAGCCAATTTGGAGCCGAACACGAACATGAATTTTAAATCGAGTCAAACACAAACACAATGTTCACGAGCCGATTTCGAACACGAGCTATTTCGAACGAGCCGAACACGAGCCAAGCCTGAGCTCGCTCAAGCTCGGCTCATTTACAACCCTATTATTAACCCATTTTTTATGCTTTGGGTGGTACTATCGTAATATAAAAACTCTAGTTGTTAAATACAGGAATGATGATAATTGTTGAGAAACATATAATGACAAAATAGTGATGAAAACTGCATGGGTATCTGTCAAATCATATACAAATTGTCTATTAGTGTAAAATTATTGGGGGCAAAATGCAATCATTCATAATAATAATAATAATATTTACATAAATACCACTCAACTCCTTTGTAGCACATATTAAACATCTAAACTCTAATCTTTACATACAAACAACTTCACCTATGCATGACAATATATTTCGTGATATTTTTATGTGATATTAAAGATTTTGGTTGCATAAATGTAAAAAATAAAATTTAGTTGTTAGTTAAATACTTAAGAATTGGGTGGAAAATGCATGATTGCATATCTATGCATGAAAATAATACTACACATTTCTCACAGTGGAGCATGGCAATAGAAACCATGATCAAAAGAACACAACCTTTCAAGATTTGCAAATTCACATTAAGTGGCAAATAGTAGAGCCTATAAAATGTAATTTTTCAAGTCCAAAATGATGCGCAATTTTGCCATATTTATCAAAAACACAATAAAAAAGGATAAACAGAGAGGAAAACTCTGAAATTGCCAAACCTGATTTAAAAAAAAGTGTTGGTCCAGCAACAAAAAACAGTCAGGCTCCTTCTCCAACGGTCCTTTTAGAGGTACTGATATAGAGAACTGCAGAACACAGGAAAGCAACTAAGTATGTAATCCATGGCGAATAATTTATCCTACTCGTGTTATTTGTAAGGAATCACCATTGTTGCCCCTAATGAAGGCGTCTCCATATTTGTTCTTTAGTTGGCCATTAACGTATTCCTCAGTTTGCTCCATTGCAATGTTCATGTAACCATCCAAACAAGCTAGAATGCCTGCATAAAATATTTTATTTTGATGTTAAGTTTAGGACTTCGTGAATTCATGTATTATACTCGTATTATAGCATGTAGGAATTAATCCAAAAGATAAGGGAAATTTACATACATACCACACAATTCTTATCTATTTACATCTCTCTCGTCTATACTTTCATATTACATACATAACATTTTGTTGCTTTAAGCCTATGCATGGAAATGTAGCATCTCTCTCGTCTATACTTTCATATTACATACATGACATTTTGTTGCTTTAAGCCTATGCATGGAAATGTATATTTCACTTTTTAAAATGGTAATAGTGCTACCATATTTTTAAAATTTATGGGAAATATATAAGAAATTTGACCATAAAAAATTATTAAACGCATTTTTTTATCATAATAAATACTCTTTTATTTGTCTTATTTTGACACCTAAAGAATGCATTTTAATTAAGTAATTTGTGGTATTAGTCTAAATTTTATGTTATAAAATTTGTACAATTGTATTCCAAGCATGCACAACGGTTAAGAATATGCAACCACGCAATAATATATACTTCGGTCCATAGTCCCTACTGAACCAAAAGGCAATTTTATGAGAATTACTAAAAGCACCGTGCATTAAAAAGATCTTAAAAATAAAATAAATATTTTAATAGTAAGATCCTCATTTGGGGCAACTTTTTCTCAACTTTAATTTTTAGAAACCTGCAATTATTTTCATGAATCATTCTATTTACTAGAACTATTATCATTAATCAAGTGCGAAACTTGAGAATTCTGAGAGAAGTGATGTTCCTTGGACAGTGATAAGGCTTATTTTTCCAGCGACTTCTGTTCATTATTTTCTTGTGTTTTTTTTATCCTTTCTTTCTCTGTGTTTTGGTTCTTGATTACAAATGAGATTATCTTCAATCAAATACAATAAAAATCTGAATTTCGTCAATTGCATGAAATTTCAATATTGTGCAAGGCATGATGTGTCCTTAATTCGGTCAATATTTTCTATTAGAAGGTCATTCTGAAGTAGAATCTATAGTTCTTTGTTTTTATCAAAGAGAATCGACAGTTATTTTGGTTGATTCTGTATCTTACAATTTTTATATTTATTAGTTTTTTGTTTAGACATTACATGCTAGATCTATACTAGAATCCCTATATCCTGAGAGGTCCTACGTCAGAATTTATAACAGAGCTTAAAGTTATATCATGATAGCTCGGGTTCAATTAACAACAAGGCTGTCAATGCGCAAAATGTAATGCTAAACAAAAAAAAGGGATTTTTTTACTCAAAAGTGTGAACAATGCTCGCACTTTGATTAACATAAGCACATATCATAGAGAATGCTACCTATTATTACACTATATATATAAGTTCACATCCATGGATATTGTTGGCAAGCATATCTCTCCAACTTGGATGCTATATTTTCAATTCCGCATGCTCCACTACTCTGATGGCCTGTCTGTTACCATATTTAGAGAAGGATTTAACCTGGATTTCAGGAATTTTGACCTTAAAATCCTAGATTTACTAAATCCTGTGAATCGACAGATTTAGTAAATCCGGGACGAGATTTCGCACGAAAAGGAATATGTGAAGTTACCTTGCGGTAGGAGTAGAATGGAAAGCAGAGAAAGATGTAATTTTCAGTTCTCTGTAGGCCACGATCCCACCGTTGCCTTCCCATGTTTTTTCTAAGCGCAATTGTCGGTCACGAAGGTGATAGTTTGGGGCAAAACTAGGAAGCCGGGAGAGAGGGAGTGAAGTAGGCGAGGGTTTCGGGCAATGAGCGGGAATGGCTTCGAGCAGAGTAGAGAGGAGATGTTTGTGATTTTATTTTATTTTTTATTAAAGTTTATTTTATCTTTTAATTGAGTAATAATAATAATTAATTAATTAATTATTAAATTAATAACAATTAATTAAATTTATATATAATTAGTTAATACTTAATTAATGAATAAAAAATTTAAATTTATATTATTTAATAGAATTTTAATAATTCTTAATTAGAATAATTAATAACTAATTAATTCATATTTAATGTTAAATTATTATTTAATAAGTGATTAGTTTAATAACTTTTTAATTAATAATAACTTAGTTTAATAAATCATTAATAATTAATTAGCATAATTAGAACTAAAATTAAATTGAATGTAATTAAATTTCTTAATTATTTTTTAATATAGAAATAAAATAACATTTTTTTTATTCTAATAAACATAAGAAATTTTTAAATCCTGACAAAAGTTGTCAAATAGCTTGACAGAATTTAATTGAACTTATCAAATTAATTGCCAAATATTTTTTTTGGAAATTGATCCTTGCAGAATTTAAATCCAAATTTATAGTATCGGCTAAATCGTATTAACTTAAATCTAATCAGTTATCATACATCCCTTAATATGTGAGTCCCACTAATCTAAATGATTTGATTGGCTTTTTTAGGGTAAATAATTGATGGCCACGACATAGATGGCCGTACTTCATGCAAGAGATATGTGCCTTGCCGAGGTCCTTCACTAACAGATTCTATCAATGTTGCTTCAGAGTTTGGCTCATTCAAATAACTAATAATAAGTAGCATACTTGAAATCTCCCCCACAATATTTCTTACATAACAACATAATTCAAACTTATTTTCAAGCCAAAATACAAATGCCTTCAAAATAGATGTAGGAAGAGATTGCTACCATCATATCTTTCACGTCAAGAGATAATGTATTAAAACTCATGTACATTATCTATTTCACGTCAAAAGATAATGTATTAAAACTCATGTGCTTAAACCCCCAATAAAATGAAATGTAGAAAAAAAAAAATCAACCACTATAAAAAGTCATCAAATCAACATAAAAGTTCTATAACTTTGAATATAATATTATTTGATAATCACCTTACTATCCCAAATCTTTAATTAAGAAGAAGAATCCTATCACACTAGAATATTAACTTCAAAAATATGGGACAGTTGAAGAACCTCAAACAGCCATCATTCTATCACAATCCAACACCGATCAAAAAGCTTTCATAACTAAAACAGAATAATAATATTCTAGAAGAAATTGGAGTACTAGACAAAAATAAACTTGGGAAATCTAAGATCTTCCTCAAGGGACATATCAGTTAATTGCAAGTAGATTTTTAATATCAAATTGCACATTTTAGAAGGCAACATGGATAGGATCAAGACTCGATTGCTGCAAAAGAGTCCACTTAATCCTATGGAATTGTTTGTGAAGAGATGGTCATCCCAGTAGGCAATATCAATGTGACCAGAATTTTAATATCACTAGCAAACAAATCTAGATTGGGTACTGCACTAACTAGATGCCCAAAAATGTACTCCACAAAAAATGAAAATCTCTTCAAGTTTTAAAAACTCGAGAAATACCAACAAAGTTTGCAAGCTACAAAAGTCATTGTATGCCCTTTAGCAAACCTCCACATGCATAGTTCGACATACTTACAATAGTGGTAAAGAAATGACTTTGCTCAATATCAATCAGCATAATCCATCTTCTACAAATTCTCCCCAAGTAAAAATGGCCATGTTCATTGTATAATTCGATTGCTTTGTCCTCACCAAAGAAGACCAAAAAAAGATGAACAAAAGTTTGAGATCAAAAAATATGGGCCACCTTAAATACTTTCTTGGCATAAAGTAGCTTTGTTTGGGTGACATTTTGATTTGCCAACAAAATTAAGCTCTATATCGAGGGATTATTGGTAGCAAACCCACTAACACTTTAACTGATCCAACAACAAAAATGGAAATATAAGAAGGGAGCATTCTTGTTATGCTCTATATCGAGGGATTATTGGTAGCAAACCCACTAACACTTTAACTGATCCAACAACAAAAATGGAAATATAAGAAGGGAGCATTCTTGTGAATAAAGATATCAAAGATTGGTTGAGAAGCTCATTTATCTCTCACACGACTAGATAACGAATTTTTTTCAAAAGCATGGTCAGTTGTTTCAAGAAAACTCCATGGAGGAACACTTGGGGAATGTAAATAAAATTTTATAATACTTGAAGAAAATTTGGATAAGTACTATACTTAAAGAAGGCTTCAAATTAAAACATTAAAGCACTTACTGGTGTTAACTGCGTCGGATCAACAACATATTGAAATATATCTCAAGTTTTGTAACCATGGGTGGGGGAACTTGATTAATTGGCGGAGCAAGAAATAGTTAATAGTAGCCAAAAGTAGCATGGAAGCTGAATTTAGAGCCATGTCCTCTGTATGTGAAGGTATGTTCCTAAGAATGTCAACTAAAAATTTTATAAAGATGTTCTATGATAACAAAAATACATAAGCATTCTAAAAACTATGTTCTTCATGAAACAAAAATAAAAAGAACATGTAGAAGTCAATCATCATTTCATCAAAAAGAAACAAACGAAAAAATCATGAAGATTGTACTCATGCCTAGAAATCTCCAAATGCTACATATACTATCATATGCTAACTTTAAGAATTTAATGTCCCAATGGGGAATTCTTGATATCTACAACCCAGCTTTTCGAGAAGCCAAGATCTTTGCCTATCTCTCTTAAATGTATGGAAGAATTTGAATATAATTCCCAATAAGAAGGTTATTATGCTTTGAATGCTGAGAGATCTCTAACAGCTGGTTAAATTTCTTTTCCTACATTTGCTTTCTATTTTTTCTATATTTTCTCAAGTGATTTTAAATTGCAATTCATGGTGGATAATAGTGATATTCAATCCTCCTGCCATAAAGCCCTCAAGCTTCATGTATTGGAACACTGAAAAAAAATAAACGAGAGAGAGAGAGAGAGAGATTAAAGCCTCGGGTTTTTCCATATTCAGTGATTTTTATATCCATATTCACTTTTTTTTTTTTTGATGTTCCAATGCATGAAGCTTGAGGCCTTTATGGAAAGAGGATTGAAATACCATAAGTAACCAACCATCAATTACAATTAAAAATTACTTAAGAATATATAGAAAAAAAAGGAAAGCAAAT